ACACAGACTGTAGAATCATTACCTATCATGATCTGGGAGTTCTGTCAATTTAATAATGCTCATCGTGTTGTGCTCATGTGGTGTTGGCTTATCCTGCATTTGAGCCCAGCTAAAATCCTCAGAGTTTTGCTCTTGTTGCCCAGGCTGGAGTGGAATGGCAGGATCTCAGCTCACTGCATCCTCCACCTCCTGGGTTCATGCAATTCTCCTGCCTCAGCCTCCCGAAGTAGCTAGGATTACAGGTGCCCGCCACCATACCTAGCTAATTTTTTTGGTATTTTTAGTTGAGATAGGGTTTCACCATGTTGGTCAGGCTGGTCTTGAACTCCTGACCTCAGGTGATTCACCTACCTCAGTGTCCCAGAGTGCTGGGATTACAGGCATGAGCAATGATGCCTGGCCACTTTCCAGCTCTTCTTATTTGATTATGTAGATGATTATAACATTAATTTGGGTTTTAATAGGTATTCCTATAAAATTTGGTCATTTTGGTTTTGTGCCATTTCCTCCAGAAACCTGGGGTCTTTCTAGGTTACTGGTTTCACTTGGGTTCCTGTGCTTTACAGTGTATTAACATTGTCCTGCTGGTGAACAGCCCACTTTTATCAATGTGTAAATTTATGTTTGCTATAATTAAGTATCCACGCTATTACTGATATCTTCCAGATAAAATTTTCATTGACAGAGTCATGTGCTGCAGAATGGAATGGAGTACACACTACCTTGTGTCAATTAAGATTCATTTGATTACAAGCCATAGCAGTCAATTGAAAGAATTCTGTCTAAAGGAAGAATGGGATAATCAAACCTCGGAATGGGCCATTTGGTGCTAAGTGTTGGTGATGTTTTCTAGAGATGGGTGACTCTCAGCTCCTGGGTCTTTCCATTCTACCTTTCAGAATTCTTGGTGAAAGAATCTGATTGATACAACTTGGGTGTCATTGAGGTCCCTAGAGCTGCCTTGGTTTCTGCCCTTCCCACTTTTGGAAGTCCCACTTTGTTCTGGCTCATGTAGTCAGAAGTTCAAAGTTTTGTTATGCGTACACAGAACCCCTGTGACCCAGCTCCTGCATTCTAGACTTCCCAGTGAAGGGTACATGTTATAAGCTACTCACCCTTAATGATTCCTAATAAAGATATGGCATAGTATAAAGAGAATGCTAAAGGAAGAAAGTATTTTTACTGGAATATATGAGAATATAGTCTCATTAGTACAGATGAGAGCAAGGTCAGGGCAGTAAAGACATTTTCTTCAATAGCTACACAGTGCTGAAGAGCAACCAAGGGAATAGCGAGAGGTTTAATGACACTGCAAAACTTGGTTATACTGTAGGAGTGGTTCTGCCATCATGTTACTGACCTCATTTATTCATTCCTTCATCAAATGTTTTATGTGTTTATTATGTATCAGTCATCATTCTAGGTGCTAGGGAAAACTTGGTGAATAAGATAGGTATAGTTCTGCCCTGCTGGAGCTTTTTGTAGTGTACTGATAATTTCAGATACTGATAAGTGTTATGAAGAACACAAAACAAGGTAGTGTGAAGAAGGCTGAATGGGGCTGGTGCACAGTCATGGAAAGCACTTCTGAGAAGATGACATTTGAGCTGAGCCCTTAACATGTCAGGAGACAGCCAGATCAATAGACGTGGAGGGCTAAGGATACTTGACTTGTGTAGCATCCAAGTCTTTTAGTACCTTTAAATGCCACCAATACTTCTAGTATTTGCAAGTTAATCATAAAGGCAGCAAGTCTGAGAGCCCAACCCGAGGGAGATTGCTACTGAGTGGTGAATCTTGATTTGGCTGTAAGAATTTGGTGGCTCTGGTGGCTTGACTGAGACAACAGTCCTTGGAGTTATCTAGCTTGGCATGCATTGGGGAGGATAAGCAGACATTTAGCTTTGGTTTCCCGAAGCTTCATTATAAGGCAAGGGGTGTTCCAATTCTCCAATTTCACCTGTGTTGCCCATCATTCTTCCATTGGCTTCCTGCTTAGGCATAGGTCCTAGAAGAACTCAGAAATCACCAGACCCAAATCCTCACGTGATAAATGAGAAAACTGAGAAGTTTAGTGACTTGCCTCAGATTACACAGCAGTTATATCAGAGCCAGGATTTGACCCCAGTTCAATTTTCCTTTTCCCAGTTCACTATGACCCTGAGGATACAGGAGGTGTTTTCTGAGAGCTCTATTTCAAACATGGGTGAAATCAAAGCTCGCATTATTTTGAAAAGTAGTAGTTTCCCAAATTTCTAAATAATATTAATAAAAGATAAAATATTTTATAACAAAATATATTAGTAAAATATGTTGTTAAGAACAATTAACAAGCAATACATATTTTATTAAAAAATAAACAACTATGAAATTACGCATAAGAGACCAATTAACCTTACAGTTATGTGGTGAGAGAAAGTGAGTTATGGAGAGCTGCAGAGAGGAGGTGATATTTAAGGAACCTGGGTCTTACAGGATGAGTAAACAGATCCCAGGTAGTTGGGGTAGGAAGTAGAGGGGAGACATCCTAGGGAGATCAGTGGCAGTGATGGGTTTGGAAGCCATGTAGTGGGGATATTTGGAGGAATAGGCCAGAGATGAGAGTAAGGCATTTGGGACCAGGCTGTAAATGGCTTTGTTTGTTGTGCTGAGGATTTTCATCAATATCCTGTGTTTAAGAACAGTTTCTGTAATCTTGGAAATGTTCAACAGTTGCACTACTACAGTAGCCACATGTAGCTACTGAACAATAAAGGAACTAGCGATTGTTGCAATGAGGAAACTTTAATTTTAGTGCATTAAAATATAAACTTAGACAAACATGGCTGAATCAGCCTCACCTCCTGCTCCCTGAAGTCTGGTTTGGTTTCACAGATGATCTAGTCCAAAATTTCATAATTGACCTAAGCCCCTGACGTCCTCTTGAGAGGAGATGTAGCACTAGGTATTCGTCTTGGAATGCCTCATCTTACTAGCTCTCTCCTACCTCCCGCCACTTCTGGATGGCCTAGGGTTAAGCCAGGAGCCCAGACTCAGCATTGTCACAGCACTTATAATTTTCTTGTGGTACAAGTTAGGCCTTTTGTTGCTGCTCCTCCTTCACAATTTCTTCCAAGGCCAAGGAGATAACCCAGACTTCCCTTGGCAAGCAGCAGGACAGGATACCAAGGCACCCACAAGAGGGCAGCAAATGATTTCTATTCTAGTTTTGTTTCTTTTTAAAAGTCATTTTGCTTCTCTGACACAGAGCTTCTATGTAGTCAAGAAATAAAAATTTGATGCTGATGTGAGGAATGGGACCTGGTTTCATTTCCCTGTGTATCCTTGTTAGTACAGCTTACTGCAGAGTGTGGCAAGTCCTGGCTGGTGGTATCCTGACCCAGGCATGCAGGATGGAAAGGCCTATGGGAATGGTGCCTTTCTGTCCACTCAGCTTTTGAGGTTGGCCTTTATTCCCAAGGAAAGGAACATTGAGCCCTGCATTTAGTCTCGAATATTTATATATCTGTTCTTGTTTCAATGTCCCTTATTTGTAAAAACCCCTCAGATTGTGCCTATGACCGAATTATCAGATGCTGGTCAATTGTCAGTTTACCTACTCAGGAGCCTGAACATGGAGAGGATGTCTTGAGGGTACAGGTCCATGGAGCTGAATGCTGCCCTTTTGGTGAAGGATGTGTTCCTACCATGTAAGGTGCAGACAGGTCTAGACTGAATTGGGATTGGCTCTTAACTGTGATCCTTTGAAGACCTCTTCTGTAGGTCCTTCTCTCTCATGAAAGAGTCTTTCTCTAGTATCACAATTCAAATCAACAAATATTTATTAAGTACCAAGTCACTAGGTAGAGGCCAAAAAGGTCATAAAATGGCACTAATAACTTACTTGTTAAATGTATATTCTTAGCTCATTTGTTGACATTTCATGAATCTCCAAAACAACCTTATAGGGTTGGTTTTATCCCTGATTGGCAGATGAAGAAACTGAGGCTGTGAGAAGTTAAGCAATCTGTCACTTAGCTAGTCGAGGACCTACTGTGCCATTATATTGGTTTTCTTCCTGGGAAAGCCTTTTGTCTCAAAGACCTCATAATTTCATGCAGCAACTTTCCAACTTGGGTACACATCGGAATCACCTAGGGAGCTTTTAAAAATCCTAGTTTCAGGGCCTTATTTCCAGGCCAGTTAAATCAGAATGTGTTTGTGTGTGTTTGGGTGAGGGAGGTGTCCCAGGCACTGGCACTTAAAAAAACTCCCCAGGTGATTCCCCTGGTCAACCAGAGTTGGGAAGCCATGCTTTTGTGGATGGAAAGGGATGGGTGATGTGAAGTCCAGGCACCAAAATAAAGAGAGGTGTACATTTGTTTCAGGTGGGATTGCTTAGCAGCATTGCTCAGCTCTCTCCAGCAGGCAGCTGACTGTTCCTGTTAAGATGAGTACATGTGTAGAAGGAGCTTTCATTTGATAACAGTGATGACAGCTAAGTTTTTTGAGTGCTTGCCCCTTGTGACACAGTTTCAGGTTTGTCCATCTATTTCAACTCTGAATCATCACAACAACCTAATATAGTAGATCCTACCTTTTCATCAAGTCTGAGATGCTGTGGGTTCTAAAACGCATCACTTTAGAGCGTCTTATGTACAATAAGAAAGAAAGAAGAAAACAGTACCCCAATTTTAAATCACTATAAATTATAATTTGTTTTTCTCCCCAGAAATGTTAAGATGTGACAAAATAAGCATCTTAAAATTAATTAAATATTGTGGTGTTATCTTCACTTATAGAGCAGGAAACAGAGACATAGAAACCTGAAGTTATGTGTCCAAGATCACTCAGCTAGAAAGCATTATATTATGAGCATTTACATTCATCAATATTCTTCCATAGCATAATTTTTAAAGGTAACATTAAATTTCACATAAATATACCCTAATTACTTTAATTGCTCCTCTAATTTTGGCTGATTATATCTTGATGTACATTTTTATATGCATCTTTTCCAGGGCATTGTCAACCACGGATTAGGTGCTGACTGTTTTGCAGCCAATGATTCAGGTAGATTATCTCCATTGATTTTCCAGGCGCTATCACGTGAGAAAGATGCTGGGACATCATGGACATCGACCTTTCTCTTTTGCACAGCTTTATGTTGAACTTTGAATGGTGGGATGCTGATTGGCTGCATGTTGCTGGCTTCATTATCCAGCATCTCTAGTTCATCAGCCTCAGGTTGGTCCACTCTGCACTCACCTAACTGCCCTTTGAGACCTAATGGCCAATGACTATATAGTTGATCGGGTCATGGGTGTGTTGCTTTTCCTTCAGCACTGAGAAGTGAGTGGAGGAATATGACCGGATGGGTGGACACACTTGATGATCAGAAAAAAGTTACTAGGGCTTTTTGATTCTAGGAGGTCCAACACTCTTCACTGAAAACTCCTGATCCCTCATTGGCATGTCTACAAGTAGCCTTAGCAGGTTCTTGCCAAATCTCTCCTTCTCTTGAGTGGAGTGACACAGTTGAGGGTCAACATTGACAAAGGTGACATAGTTTATGGGGAAGGTGGCAGATTATCTCAGGTGGCTGAGAGTTGGCTGGTCACACCCGAAAGCAGTAGCCATGTGCCGAGAACCAGCTCAGCCAGGAGACTGCCACCCAGGTAAGCTGAAAGATATTGAGAGGCAGTGAGAGGCAGACATCCAGATAGTCAACAGAGTGGATCTACTCTGGGCACCAGCAGCCTGAGAGCCTGCGGGACTTGCAGCTCTCCTAGACCGGAGGCCCCAAGCAGAGATTCATCCATGCATTTATTTGCTCTTTGACAGGTGATTCTTATTAATACACAGGTGTTCTACATATACACGTAACTCAGGAATATACCAGGTAGGCAGCTGTTACCTGCCTATGACTAATTATAAGCTACGAGGTATCCTCCACAAAGGAGACATGGGGGCAGGGTAAACTTAATGTTTCTCCACAGTCATGTTCACTCTGAAGCAAGTGTACCTGGACCCTGACTTCCCTGTCCTTTATCAGTCATCTTCTTTTAGCTAAGTATTAGAGTGTTTATTCCACAAGCACTGGGGCTGCAGCAGGGACAGCAACAGACTGAAGGCTGACCATCTGGAACTGCTGGTTGTTTTCTTTCACATAAGGTAGATTGCTGATAGGTAGGCTGAACTTCTTGAGATCCCAAGGCCATTTCTGGCTTACCAGAAGTATATTACTTCAGTGTATTATTTATTGATATGTAATGAACTTACCAAAGATTAGGGGATTAGAAGAAGAACCAGTCTATCATTTCTCATTGGTTCTGTAGGTTGACTGGGCTCAGCAATGTGGTTCTGCTTAGTTGCTTGGAGTCTCTCATGTGGCTGCAGCCAGATGGTGAATGGAACTGGAGTTGTCTGAAGGCTGGAGTGGGATGCTGGGAAGACTGAACCTCCCTCCTTCTCCACGTAGCTGCTGGCCTCTCTTCTCCATGGGCCTCTCTACCAGGATTGCCAGATTACCTAAATGGCAGCTCAGGGCTCTCAAAGGAGCAAAGGGGAAGTTTCCAGACTTTCTTAAAACTTAGGCCTGCAACCGGCACACTGTCACTTCTATTTATTAAGGAGGCACAGCAACAGCCTAGATTCACAGAGAGAGTTAATAAACTACAGTTTTATGGGGGGAGTGACAGAATTTGTGGCCAGCTCTCTGTACCATGACTTGTACGTTCACTGGTCATGTTGATAAAAGCAGGCTAAGAGCTAGATCTCACCCCAAGGATTCTAGGGTATGCAATTTCCTTTGGCAAAAGTGCTGAATGGGTCTTGCATGCATTGGCAAAAATATTTTTAGGAGGAAACCAGAAAGCAAAATGGACCAAAGAGGGTGCATGGTGGTCTTTCTGCTTTCAGCATTGACCATCTAATCAAGTATAGAAAGGAGAGTGAGGCATTTTTCCAAATAAAAAATGAATTTTTATCTATAATAGCTCAAATTTGTTTGTTGTCACGTCTTGGTATTGCTTAGTTTGGTTGGTGAAGATCTTCTCTCAGTTCTTGGTGCCCTTGGAGTGCTCACAGGAGAGCCTGCTGTTGGAATGAATGGCAAGAGGGAGTCTAGACTGCATCTCCTGGAGGACATGTCCTTGTCCTACATCTTATCCGCCTTTGTAACCATTGCACCTGCCGCAATGCCTGGCACAGAATAGACAAAGAATTCATGTGGTTTGAGCTGAACTTCAAGTTGTAATGAAGGAGACAGGGCAAACCTGGCTAAGCACAAATAATGAAAAGCACAAGAGAAAATAAAAGTAATATCTTCCTACACACAGCTTCATATACTGTGAGAGATGGGACAGAATAGCAATAGGGAGAGACCTGTGACTGAAATCATAACAAATTCACTAAGAAAAACTTTAGGATGTTAATAAAAGAAAAGGGAGGGCTTAGGGGGCCAAGTGGAAAGGGGCTCAGGAAGAAGAAGAATGTAGTAATGTGGCAGCTTCTCAAACTTTTATGTGCAAGAAAATAACATAGAGATCCTGATAAAATGCAGATTCTTTTTTTTTTTTGTTTTGTTTTTTGTGATGGAGTCTTGCTCTGTCACTCAGGCTGGAGTGCAGTGGCACGATCTCAGCTCACTGCAACCTCTGCCTTCCAGGTTCAAGTGATTCTCCTGCCTCAACCTCCTGAGTAGCTGGGACTACAAATGTGTGCCCCCATGGCTGACTAAGTTTTGTATTTGTAGAGATATGGTTTCACCATATGAGCCAGGCTGATCTCAATCTCCTGACCTTGTGATTTGTCTGTCTCAGCCTCCCAAAGTGCTGGGATTACAGGTGTAAGCCACTGCACTCGGCCAAAATGCAGATTCTTATTTGGTACTTCAGGGTGGGTTCTGAGAGTCTGCATTTCTAATGGGCTCCCAGGTATTGTAGGTGCTCCCTATCTGAGAAGGATCTAGTAGAAAGGAGAAAAATGAGACAAGTTGTTTTGGGTGGAGCAAAATAGGTGAAGCTTGGAGATGGGATTTAAGGGCACTGCTAATGGAATCAGGTTTCTCTGGACAGCTCTTACTTTAGGAACATCTCTCTGGTAGGGACATGATAGTGTATGAGGCAAAGCCCTTCCGGAAGGCAGGAATGTAGGAGCGAATGAGAGAGAACTGTTCCATATTTTCAACTATTCATTTTGTACCATTTCAGCATGTTGACTTAAGATGTTTTCTTAAATATTCCCCACTTAACACTCTCCTTCTCCTAGTGCATTGGGATTCTATTTCCTAGTGCATTGGGATTCTATTTCTCTAGGATCTGCCTTAAAATGGTTTCAGAGATTTATTTCTGAGGGAAATAGAGAATCTACTAATTGTGAAACCACTTGGAGATTATGAACAAAGGTTACAATAGTTCAAAATTCATTCAAAGACCAAAATGATGTTTGAAGCCCTTCAGTGGTGCACAAAGATGAGAAATACTTGAAAAATCTGTTGAAAATTGATTTCCCTTTTAAGGCTATTATTTATTTCCATTGTTCTTACATGCACAATTTTCATTTTTCCAGTTCAATATGGCAAATATTCTAAGTTGTGTGGGTTACTTCCACTTCTAAGAATATGCTTATAGTCTTCCCAATAAAATTCTGTTTGTCCTAGGAGCATGTGATACTGCGTCGTGGAGGGGGAGATTATGCCCAAGAAACCACTGACCTCTGATGTAGCTAAGTGGAGTTCCATGCCTCCATTCTATCTGAGACAGATAGGCCCCATGAACACCATTACTTCCATGGTGAGAGGTGTGTACAGACTGTAATGCGAGGTAAACACCCCAGCAGATTTATGACCCCAGCGAGCCCCAGTCACTGTTCAGATAGGGAGTATCTCCTCTTATCACATCTGTTTCATCATAATCTGAAAGATAGCAGTCAGGGTCCAAATAAATGATACAATTTGAGTTCAACTGGTGATTTTGTTTGTTTGTTTCATAGTAGTTCTTTCAAGCGTATACTCTCAAGCTGTATGAAATGTGGTGTCATGTCTTTTCTGTATAGGAACTGTTGATTTGTAACACTCATTTTCCAGATAATTGTTTTCTTTTGTCTTGTATTGCTGCAAACCACTCCCTGAAAAGCTAATACTGTATCTTCTTCCTTTTCTTCTTTTCAAGTGGTCCAGTTTAGATAAGAAAACTTGATTTCAGATTCTTATCCAAAGCCTATGCAAACCACTTTGGTTTAGAAAATTGGTCTGTAAATCTTACAGGGTCCAGGATTTTCTTGGGCACTTACTTGTTCTTAGGTAGATCAGAAATATTGATACAGTCTGGCCTTAGAATTACAACATTGCTCTCTGAAGCCAGCCTATAATTGCAAGTACTAGAATGTATTATGAAATCCAAAGGAGAGGTACTGGATGTTTTAGACTCTCAAAAGAACTCATTTCATTTCAATTTGAGGTTAAAGGTCATTCTGTTTGACGGTGAAGCTTAGTTTATCCTCTGAGGCTGTGCAGCCTTGATAAGAAGCTTTACCTGTTCTCTGGGGGCCACAGCTGAAGGCAGCCAGATGCAGGTATTGCTGCATCTGTTTTGTGTAATGAAGTTGAGCTGTGTGTGATATGTGTGGTAGCTAGTTGTAGAGAAAGCAACAGTAGTATACAGGGTGCTGATTTGCATGACTTTTCAGGAGAGAGAATGAAAAGTTTATTCATAACTGTTGCTGTTTATTTTATGACTCCTGTATACAGAGCAATGTACACTCATCATACCATTTAATTCCCTCAGTAGCCCTGCAATACAGTTGTTGTCATTTCAGTTTCCCAGTGGAGGAAACCTAGGCTCAAAGAAGAGAGGTCTTTAACTTTCTGCCAGGATGACAATGGGAGAAGCTGTCAATACAGCTAGCATTAACAGTGCCCCAAAATTAATTGGATAGGTCTCTACCCTCAACCTCATCCATCTCTTTAGCTTCTTTGTCCTTTCCCCCAATCCCACCTTTCCCCTTTGAGAATCTAGGAAGGGAGAGAGGGGTGGAAGAAGGAGAGGCAGAAAAAGAGGATGACATTAATAGTTCAAACTAGGAAAAGGACTGAATAAACTCAGAAGGAGGTGGCAAATGGAGTAAAGTTGCTTCATCTGAATCATCCAGACTGACACACACACATGAGCAGTTTTTCATGGGGGAGGAGACATGAGTGGCCTGGCCAAATTTGTCTTTGACTCTTTGAGTAGCACTGAGGGCAT